TCATTTTATAAAAAATTGCAACACCTGTGAAGCACAATAAAGTGAAGTTCAATAAAAAGAGGTATGCCTATAGTTGCATTCTTGTATCTGCTCTGCATTTGATCTGTTGCAGTATATTGTTTTGGTTGAAGATGTGATGAAAATCTAGTCCCACACTGCTATGTAAGTGGAAAAGAAAGGACCTCATGAACCCCTTGAAAGGGTCTTGGGGCCCTCAGAAGTCCTCAGACCACACTTTTAGAATTACTGGATTAGCAGTACATTCCAGTGGAAAGGAGGAAAAAAATCTCCCAATGAATGGACAGCTTTTTGAAAGATAAGAAGTCTGAATCATGGCATGCTGGAAATTATTCTAGTACAGTGTTTCTCAAAGCTTAATGTATATATGTTGCCTAGAATCCTTGTTAAAATTTAGATTCTGATTCAGAAGTTCTAGGGGCAAAAACTCCAGAACCTGTAGTTCTGATAAGCTCCCAGTTTATGCCAATGCTGCTTATGCATGGACCTCACTTTGAGTAGCAATGCTCTGGTATATGCTATACATATCACCAGAAAGCTTATAAGAGCATGAACAAGTGAGCTAGTGTGTGTTGGGGGCAGTGGGGTGGTGGGAAGAGGGTAGGATAGGGATGGGCAGAGGGAAGAGATGAGTGTAAATAAACTCGTGATCTTTTAAAAAAATCTATAAAAATATTTTTCTTATAAATCCTATGCTATAGCAAATTTGGCTACTACTTATTAACTACCTCTAGATCAAAGCAAGCTAAGGCATAATGTTAACAGAGACAGAATGCAATTGCCACGTTTGCTGACACAGAGCATGGCATTAGATCTGAAAAAAAATTTTTTTTGCCCTTAATGTGAAGAATTGGGGAACTGATTGATGGACTTGGTGTTTAGGACTCAAATCCATAATATTATCAGTAGAATTATATCATGAAATTACTAATATATGCTCAATACATAGAAAATTCAATTGATTTATAATTTCATGTGTAGAAATCACATATTTTTAAAGGCTTTGTAGAGGATAGTAGCACAAACAACACAAACTTTCCTCTCCCACTCAACACTCAAACCATATTGGCTAAAATTACTTAATAGAATTTAAAACTTACAGCAGAAGCATGAGTATAATTTGGTTCTCTAATGTTCCTTTCCATTTGTCTACAATCTTTCCTCAAACTTAACTTCACTGACATTATTACTCAACTTTAGCCACTCAGCAAATTGACCACAAGTAGTAAGTTTACTACAAATTTATATTATTGACCTTGAGCTGTGTCCTTACTGCTGCTCTGCACTTTTTATTCACATCTACTACTCCATACTGTACACCATACCTTTCCTCTTTTCAAGCCCACAGCCTCTCCGTATGATTATACTTCAATATTGTATTTTAAATTCTATAACAAAACAAAATGATCATTTCTCCCAAATTAGCTTTCCCCTCCTGGCCAGCCCTAACATAATCATTCTAAAAAGCAAAGCATGGACTTTGGAATCAAGGAAGATCTGAATCTGGATCCTGACTTTGCTATTTAATGGCTGTGATTTTGGGAACTTTAACTATTCTGAGCCTATTTTTCCCTGCATCTTGGAAAAATCTCCATTTTGCAGGGTTGTCACGAGGGTTATATGACATAGCATATATAAAGTCCTCAGGACAGGGAGTAGCACTTATTTGATGCATATACCCTCTTTTCCTGTATCCCAAGATCTAGACATCAAATCCTGATAAAACTTTTTGTAGACTTTAAAAAAACTCATTGCCACCATCCTAGACTAGGCCCTCATTACCTCTCAGCAAGGCTACTATATCAACCACCGATTATTATTGGCCCTTATCCATCTTACACGCTGGTCTTATATTAACCTTTCTAAAACACAGATCTAAGCCTTCAATGGCTGGCTGTGGTCACACAAATAAAATCTATATTCTTAATCTACCAGTTTACATAATTTGGCCCCAGTCTACCTTTGCAACTTTATCTCACACTATTTCCCTCCCATACCCAGACAGCTGTTTCTCACATACCTTTCCTGACGCTATTTGCTAGCCAAGATACTCTCTTCTTCTGGCCTGTCTTCATTCCAGGAATTCCCTAAGGTTTATCTTAATTTGTAGGTAAATAACACTTCATGTGATCCCATTACTGGAAATTCTTTCGACCCCTTCTGAACATCTTAGTACTTGCTGCCACTCTTTTAGAATCCACTATTCTACTTTTAGTTATTCCCATACATATCTAGTGCTTGTGACTAGATGACAAGTTTCTCTTTAGTTCAATCATACATTTCATACTCAAACCTGTATTTTGAGTTTAATCCCAAAGGCCTTAAAAATGTCACATTTCTGCATCAGGGAAAGCTTAACAACATACTACTAAATAAAAAATATGCCTGGAAAACAAATGCTTTTGGGAACAATATTCTGAATAAATATAGTCAAATTGGCACTCTACCACTTTCAGGTGCTCTTGCCTACTAGACTTTTTGAACAGGCCAAACTCTTTTAACACAAATTCATTTGGTGTTTGATGTGAAAATAACATCTTATTGGCCTCTTTTCAGAAAATAAGTTAGTGAAAACATTTACCACTAATACTTGTTTGTAAGGCTCATTAACTAAGGGAGGTGGTACTTCTTGTAAAAATGGTGCCAAATAAACATTTCTGCTATCGGAGTAGGTGTCTTCCAGTGATGTACTTTCAGTGTCAGAAACTTGTTACTGTAAATAAAAATACAGTAGAGGAGTATCTCCAGGATGTTGATCCTTTGATGCAGTATGTCCTTTTCCCTTCTAGTAAAATAGCCTGTGGTTATACTTTAGTTATACAAGTTTTCTGAAGGTTTTTTTTGTTTTGTTTTGCTCAGTAACATGGAAGTCAGGCAGCCAGTCCAGACATTTCCTTTCCATTTTCAGATTTCCTCAGCTGGGGCATCTCTTGCAAGAAATCTGTTCTAGAATCAGTTTCAAGCTCCTTCAACCAACCACCAAACCAATACTAAGAAAGGTTTTTTTTATTTAAAAAAACACAAGTTGATTTTATTTAAATGAATTTGGAAGAGAACTAGTTAATCTAAGTATTTCCTTAGGATTTAAAAAATTTGGCATGATTTATATGTACTTTGTGTTAATAGTAGTAAAATATATTTACCATTTTAACTGTTTTAAAGTATACAAATTTGGTGGCACTCAGTACATTCACAATGTTGTATAACCACCATCTAGTCCATCTAGTTCCACAACATTTTTATTACCCCCAAAGAAACTGCATACCTGTTGGGTAGTCACTTCCCATTCTCCCCTCTCCCCTGGTAACCACTCATATCTGCTTTGTCTCTATGGGTGTCTACTCATATAAATGAAATCATACAATATTCAGCTTTTTGTGTCTGGCTTCTTTCACTTTGCATGTTTTCAAGGTTCACTCATGTTGTAGCATGTGTCAGTACCGCATTCCCTTTTATGGCTGAAAAATATTCCATTGTATGAATATACCACATTTTGTTTATCCTTTGAGCAGCTGATGGGACATTTAGTTGTTTCACCTTTTGGCTATTGCATTTTGGGGTTAAAAGAGTTCCTTTTAACCCTTTAATGCTATGAACATTCAAATACAGTGTTTCAACACTTGTTTTCAATTCTTTTGGGTATATACACCTAGGTGTGGAAATGCTGGGTCATGTAATACAGTACTTCTTATTTATATTGCTCAGTTCAAATATTGGGTAGCAGTGTTCAAGAAAATCGTGACAGCTCCAGGAATGTTATAGACTAGATGATTAACCAACCAAAAAGAGGTAGTAGCTCTAGCTCCTTGTGGCCTCATTTTACTTTAGACAGTAGAAAGATACATGTATGTTAGTGATTCTCTAAGAGTGCACACAAAAACTAGCTGGGAAACCTTTTTAAAAATGTAGACGATTGAGTCTCATGGCCAAAGATTAATTCAGTAGGTCCAGGGCCTAGGGATTTGTATTTTAAAGACATCCTAGGTGATTTTGATGATCCTTCCACCACACTCTGAGAAACCATGGTAACTGACAGTTCTCTCAAATGAAATCAGATTAGGCAGAGGGCATTAAAGGAGTAAAATGTAGGTTTCCTAATTGTTATCCTAACCTTCATGGAAACCATGAAGCTGAGATGAAAGATATAGTGGCACAAAATATTTCCTAGGAGGAAAACTCAGTTTTTCTACAGATGTACCACTTTCTTCCTTTTAATAGGACAAATCTAATCAAGAAGCAACATATACTATTAGGGACAAAATACTGTCGAACCAACTGTTGTTCTCAGGATTCCTACTATAAACATTTGTTAGTATCGATGATAAACAATACAACTTTAGCAACTTTTGGCTTTAAATATGCAGCCAATTCAGTTTACTTTTTGATATCTGGTTTTTAAGGAGAGCCTTGTTTAAGCAAGAAACGAACGCCTATATTGAGCTTTTTCTTAGAAGACAGATAAAATTCATCATAGACACATAATTGCTTAATGTAGACTCACTGAAATGCAAAAATTGCCTTTTACTTCTATTTAACAAAGCTTCAATTCCTAAAAAGCTGACATGATTTTTAGATCTAGCTGTGAAAGACTGGCCAAGTTAATCTTAGAAGATGATCCTGCTTCCTAGAATTGAATTCCTTTTAACCCTTAAAAACAAAACCATCTTGTGCAATTAACTAAATTGCATTAAATCTTAATTAAATCTTGATTTAATTAATCAATTAATTAAATCTTGATTTAATTAATCATATTTCATAGAAGCTCAAAGCACTCAAATATCTCCTTTAATAAATAAACAAAGGCCCTATAATTTACAATGTGCAGAACACTATATAAAAGAGTTACCATAAAAATTACATTAGGATCTTTTTTATCAGTGAGGCAACTGCTATAGTTCCCTCTGACTTGTACAGCATCTGCCTGAATGCATGTCCTTCTCTGTGATGATCTAAATTTCGATAAGTACAAATCACAGCAAAAATTAAAGTTTCATCTTTAATGAAATGACTTTGGAAATAACATATATTTCCATGAAACCAATATTACGGTTTTCGGAGTCACAGTAAGATACACAGAATTACATCCGTAATTAATATGAATGCCAATATTTCAAGCAATAATTTCTGTTACATGGCAAACAAAATCAAGAAAGCAACCATCAAACAAAAGAGACCCATAGCTTCAGACAAGGCAAATCCCAGGATAGCATATGAGAACAGCTGCTGTTTCAGCGAAGGGTTTCTAAAAGAGACACAACACATTTGTTACTTTGAAATATTATTTGAATTTCAATATGGTTTTGGTAAATGTTAAAATATCAGATTACTAGAGGATCTCTGTACACTGGAAAGTAGTGGAAGAGTGCCTAGATTGTTTTTGCTTTGGCCTTTGACATTCCTTTCTCAATCCTAATCATATGGGGGAAAGGCAGACAGCTGTCTCTGTATGTCAGTATAAACAGTTAAGTCTTCAACCATTTTGAGGGGTTCTGACATTCTTCTTATCCCTGTGAAAGTATGTTCTGTATTTTTTAAGATCTGATAGTTTAAAAATAAAGCCTTATATAATAAAATGGAAATTGATACTTTTGAAGAATGTCCTCTAGTATATTCCCAATAATAGCTTAACAAGTAACAGCACAGTCTGTGAAGTCTCTAGTCCTTCATAGGTATATGATAAACTGGAGTATATTTCTAAGGGGTGTTGTTGTGATAAACTGGAGTATATTTCTAAGCGAGTTAAGTGAGATCATGCATGCCAAAGCCTTCAAAATATACTGCAAGATACAGAGTAGGTACTTAATACCAAGTAGCTGCTATTTCACTAGTTTTCTAAATTTCCAGCTATTTCAAGCGTGCTCTTAAACTAGCTCATTTGACAATGGAAATTACCTGGCATAACCGATGATAAGGCTGCCAAAGACTGTTCCAATACCAGCACCAGAGCCAGCCACTCCTACTGTTGCAGCCCCTGCACCAATAAATTTGGCAGCAGTATCAATGTCTCTGCTGATTGCACTGGTCTGAAACTCCCTTTGGATTAGCTGAGACGAACCATGTTGGGCCCCATTAAATACAGTAGTGCTCTAGAGAACAGGAAATAAAGGCAAAGGTCAAATCAGTAATCGCAGTTAGCTATTTTAATTACTATACCATCAAAATGATTACTACTTCTCTATTTTGTAGCCGTTTAAATAGGAGGTGGTGTGGCACAATAGGAAAAAAATCAAGGGCTTAGAATAATTCTAGTCTTGTAGGAATAATATTTACATTCTGAAAAGGTTGAAAATTAAGAAACAGTATATGTACATATACTTTTTTATTGGTAACTCAAGCCTATATATTTAAATATACATACTGACTATATTTCTTAGCCAACGCAGGTGGATAAGTTTTGGATACAGAAGTTTATTTCATTGGTTCATCTTCTGCACATTCTTTTGGATAAAAAGATGGAAAGGATTCCCTTCAAACCATTCATTACTGAGGGTTTTTTTTTCCACCCCCTTCACTTTAATCAAAACCATAAGACTTACTTAAGAGTGTCACTTAATTTCTATTGTTACTATTACCTCTCCAGTCCTAGCCTCTGGTCGAGATAACACTGATGCAGAAATTGGTCTGTATGCAACTCTGGATCCAGCTCGGATCTATTAAGGAAAAAAGATTCCACATAATAAGAATACAGATAACACTTTGATGACTCTTCCTGCACCATGAGTTCTAAAAAAAAAGCAAGCAGCAAAAATGAATCAGAAAGTTCATGACTTTTCTATACTGGCACTAGGCTGTTTGGTCATTTTCAATACATGAAGCAATTTTAATAGTTCTAAAGTTATAGTGCTAATGAAATTGGAAAGCTTGCTTCATAAGCTACTTGTAACACAATGAACAAAACTTCTAAGAACAATTAGTTAAAAAGAATAAGTATTGCTTTTAAAATTTCAATTATTGTAGTGCCACAATTCGGATGAGAAAAATGGCAAAAAATACCCCACATTCTTTGGCAAGTTTAAGTGGGCCAACAAGTGTCACTATAAAAGCTTGTCATTTAAAATAGCCCATCATCAATGAGCTCCCATCATTTCCAAGGTATTCCTATATGTCCATTCATCATAAAATTAAAAGGCAGTTTAAGCAATTCTCCATCAGAGTAAACATAATCGGTGAAATACCCTGACCATAAGGACACAAAGACATAAGGACTGTCTTTTCCAGTCCAGCTGCTCTGCCTGCCCTTGAATGTCCACTAAACTAAGGTCACCAAAAATCCCTTCCGAACCGAGATCTGATTCTCTAAGACAAATCCCCCAGATCTTCACTTCACCTAAAGCCTCCAAAATGGTTATGGAAATAACATTCCAGAAGCAGAAGAAAGACTTTCAGCCACCCACACAGGGTGAGGCAAAGTCCCTCCCTCTGCAGCAGCGAGTTTGACCTACAGATAGGCAAATGGACAGCGCTGCTGCGGGGAACTAAGCTAGGCCTCGGCAGCCCCTACACATCGTTCACATCACCCCAACCTTAGCGTCGACCCCAACTCACTAGAGTGACCGAGGAGGTGGGGGAGGGGCAAGGAGGGTTTGACCTACACCGCGAGGGGCCTGACAGCTAGGCCTCGGCTGCCCTCCATCGCCCTGGGGAGGAAGGAGCGGAGTGAGACGCCCCAGGATTAAGAGAAAAGGAAGCAAAGGACACAGAGATTCAAGGGTGAGGAGAGAGCTGCCTCGAACTGGCGGTGTGCGCCGCCCGGAGGTGCCCCATTCAACAACGTGGACGCTCCAGGGCAAGACATCCGGCCTTCAGTTCCCGGCCCCGCATGTGCTACGCACCAGAGCGGAGGTGCAGGAAAGCTTGGCGCAGGCGAACATCTTACACTCCTCGGGGCGGCGCGGCTGGAGGACTTGGGTGACCGGCGATGTGGCTTCCTCTCCCGCTTCCTCTCTGAGGAGGCAAAGAGGCTTAAGGTCAAGTGCCCTCCGAGGGCCTGTCTTTCCCCTCAAGGTCCCGCGGGCACCTGTGCACGCCGTCGGCTTGGGCCCCGCGCCCAGCCTGGCGCTAGCCGAATGAATGGGTCCCTATGGGCGTTGCTCTGCCCGGCCAGGCCCTGCTTGGGCGCCCTCGGCTTACCGTCCCGGGAGGTGGCGGCGGCGGTGGCGGCGGCAGAGGTCGAAGGAGTGGGGCTGGGCGCGCAGGCGCGGTCCGACTCTTATCCGCGCCGCGGCACCCGGATGGAGAAGGCGGGGAATTGGTGCAGTAGGGAAGACGCTCAAGGTCACTTTGTAACAACTTTATTGGTAACCAGTTGGGAAGGACACCAACAGCCATCTAATGACGGGCTGGTGGACAGGGTTTGGTAAAGAGAGACAAAAAGAAGAAATTGAAAAGTAGTCTTGGCAGAGAGAACTGAACAGGTCTTGATCTGAGCTCGCCGGAGGAAAGTGCTACTTATTCTTTCAGTTGATACCTTCTGAAATTTGGCTTTGTATTAGTTGCTCTTTGATAGAGGGTTCCCCTTTCTTGTCATTCTCTTCTGTGAAATAGGACGTGTGTGTGTGTGTGTGTGTGTGTGTGTGTGTGTGTGTGTGTGTGTGTGTGTGTGTGTAGCAGCAGTTCATT